AAATATTTAGGGCACTGGGCCTGTAACATTTCCAAAAGAAAGAGTCCCAGAATTAATAGTGGACTGCTATCGATATTAAAGTATCAGACCAGGAATTGGGAAGCCCTGGATCTTCTCTGACTCTGAGTGACCTTGCAACACTTCTGGGACTCTACTTCCTCTTTAGGAAAATGGAGGTAATAATACTGGGACCTCCATGCCTATCTGTCAACAGTGGGGCAAGAATTATATGAAATAATACTTGTTAAAGAATGTGCACATCTGTAAAGGATTCAATTCATAAAGGAGAAAGGAACAAATATTGATCGATCCCTGCTAAGGGCCAGGCCCCTCACATATTGAACCTTATTTCATTTTCCCCCCATCCCCACCCTGTCTTCTCGGTAAGTGTGCAGATTGCCACTGTGCAGATGAGGAAACTGAGGATTGGTGAGATGAGATCACGACCCGTGACATGGCTTGCAGCAGAGGGACCTAGGATTCAAAGCCACAAAACCCACAATACCTGATAATACCTGATATTGATGAGGTCTATCTGTCTGTTCCTATGAAGAATTTAATTGTACATTTTTGTTCTAATTTCAGAACCTGGGGGAGGAATGGAGATTTAATATATTTTAATCTTAATAATAGAAAATACCTTATGATTTTCATAAATTATTAAAGAAAAAGTATGAGATCTTTTTAATATACATGAAAAGTTATACTAACTTGAAGGTGAAACTCTCAAATGAGGAGATCGGGCGCGTTCAGGGTGGTATGGTCGTAGGCTGAAACTCTCAAATGAGATACTGATTGTCGTCCATCTTGAAGAAGGTATTGAAATTAGTCATGTAGATGCCTGTGTTACATGGTATGTTACACAGAATCTCAGAATGTATTCTCCTCATTCAGCCCTTTAAGCACTCTGTATAATGTTTATTAACACTCCCATTTCACAGATGGAGAGGCTGAGGTTCAACGATAGGTCATGGAGCTGGCTTGCAGCCAACTGGAGCCCCACATCTGACCCCTGCACCCCATGCCCCTCCCTCCTCCCCATAGTTCCTTACAAAAGGCTGCTGTGGGCCTAGATGTACCATTCTCAGAATGGGTGCTGAACATGAGGGCAGAGGGCAGGACAGATAGAAGGGTCTCCCAGGACAGATGAAAACTTAAGGTCACCTAGCCCAGCCCCTGTAAGTTGAAGAACTAAGACACAGAGGTTAAGTAACTTGCATGATCTGTAAGGCAGGAAGTGTAGGAGTCAGAGCTTCGGAGCAGGCAGTCGGATTCCAGGACCTGCACCCCAACTGTCTCTCTGGTTTCAGAGCTGCAGTTGTGTTTACACAGTGTTTGTTTCTATCCCCACCTACCCACACCCTTTCCCAGCCCCACAACACCACGCTGCTGCCAGTGCTTTCTAAATACAGCTTAGTCATATCCCTGGTTTGCTTGAGATTCCTTACCACGTCCCCACTGGCCTTCCGGTTAAAACTCAGCATCAAAGATGTATTTCTTTTATAAATAGAAAAATATAACAAATGCAATTCTTTTTTTAAATTCCAAACTGCAACATGCAAGATCTGGCCCCTGTCTAATTCACACTGTCCACACACTGCAGCCACCCCAAGCCACCCCCTAACCAGCACATGCTGCTTCCTCTGCCAGGAACTGCCCTACTTTCCCTTCTCTGCAAGACTTAGCACCATGTCCACTGGTAAACAAACCTTCCCTGGCCTAATTTAGCTTCACCTCCCGGGAGGTCCTGCAGAAACCTGTCATAACCTGTCACACCATTTATCACGCTGCATTGCAGCAGTTGAGATTTCTCGTAGTTTCTCGGCAAGTCTGTGAGCTTCTTACAGATAGATCTTTCAGCCCCCAGTGCCTAGCACAGTACTTGTCACACAACAGACACTCAGTACATGTTCATGAGCTGGCCGAGCAGGTGAAGAGCAAATGACTTGGCCAGGATAACAGAGCTGGGATTTGAATTTTCAGTCCTTTAGTTGTTTTTGCTCACTTGCCAAGTATTATTATCTGTGTTTCAATCATTCTGTTTAGTCTTTGCATTTGTAGCTCATATTAAAAGTGACATAGCACTTTATTCAGTTTTGTTTTCTTTTCTTTTTTAAGATTTTATTGGGGAATTGGGGAAGGGGAATGGTGTTGGGGAATTGGGGGAGGAGAACAGCCAAGTTGTCCTTCAATCTTAGTTGTGGAGGGCGCAGCTAGCTCAGCTCCAAGTCTAGTCGCCCGTTGGCAGCTCATGGCCACTCGTTGGCAGCTCATGGCCACTCAGCTCAAGGTGCCGTGTTCAATTTTAGTTGCGGGTGGGCGTAGCCCACCATCCCATATGGGAGTCAAACCAGTAACCTTGTTGTTAAGAGCACGTGCTCTCACCAGCTGAGCCATCCTGCCACCTGTTGGCAGTTCAGCAGCAGCTCAGCTCAGGTGCAGCTCACTAGCCCATGTGGGAATCAAACTGGCGACCCTGTTGCTCAGAGCTCGTGCACTTAACCAACTGAGCCACTCGGCCAGCCCCTAGTTTTTGTTTTTTAATTCAATTTTGAATCCAAAATATACTCAGAAGTTTAAAATGTTTTTGTATAAAAGGGTATGTCTTCTAGTTGCTCAGTTCCCTTCTCCTTGGACACCTCTGTTGCTAGTTTCTGTATACCATTCCTGAGTTGTAGTCTGCATATAAAACACAGATGGATAGATACTTTATACACATTTTCACATATTACACACATTGTTCACAGTCTTACTTTTTTTTACTTAATACATCTTGGAGTTTTTTTTCTGTTAATTCATAAAGAGATGCTTTTAACGGTTGCATTGTATGAATTACTGTAATTTATTTGATGAGTCCATAATCAATGGGAGATTTAAGCTGTTTCCAATCTTTTGCAATGAATGACCATAGGTGTAAGTCATTTCACATGTGTGTTCATGTATGTAAAAATGATTGCTTTTTTTTGACACTTTTAAAAGAAACAGACAAAATTTTCAATTAAGACTGTTTATTTTTCTAACAGGATTCACCAGAAGATTCTTTCCAAATCCCTGACTCTCTCGTCCTCCATCTCCTGTCTGTGACATAAGAATATTTCTTGCCCCCAAAGGCTCATAGCTGCATGTTGTTAAGCTTGAAGGTTTATCCTTTTTGGCTTCAAAATTCTTCCAAAGGAGGCATCTTATTTCTCCCTTTTAATCCAATTTCCTATTAGATTAAAAGGATTTATAAGCAAGATTTTTTTTTTTTTTTTTAGCTGAGCCATCCTGCTACCTGTTGGCTGCTCAGCTCGGGCTGGACTCGAACCACTGTTGCTCAGAGCTCAAACTCTTGAGCGAGCTCTTAACCAACTGAGCCACTCGGCCGGCCCAGCAAGAACTTTTTTAAATGTATCTCTTTTCTAGTCTTCTAACTTAGCAGTTTACTATGACTGAGGCAGGTTTATCCTGCAACAATTTTTTTTAAAACCTTTCCATGTATTCAGGGATGCATTTTTTTACTGCATCAGGCCAAATCTACTTTGCCTCCAAAATGAGAAATGCAAAAGAAATAAAATTGCTTAACTGCTCTAGCTTTTTTTATGTCAGAATATCTCATCAGCTACAAACACTAAGCTAACAAGTGAGAACCATACAGGGTAAAAAGCCACTGAGTGAGAAGAGAATGTCAAACAAATTAGCAGGCAATTAATTGTCTCTTCCCAAAGCAGCTTAAGTATTTGATAATAAAGTGGAAAACTGATTGTAGCTAAAGGGACTTCCAGGAGAGACTCCCAGGGCCCTCCACATCCGATTCCTTCTCTATAGCTGAAATGAGGCTGTGGGCTAAGCAGAGATCCACGTGACAAAGGCCAAGAGCTGGCCTCATCACACACACAGGGCTTTACTCGGGTCACTGACTCTAACTGCCTCTGATTCTACCTGGCTACTTTTCCGACGCTTTAGAGAATATTCGTGATTCTCAATCCTGGCTGCATATTGAAATCACCTAGGAAGCCTTAAAAATGCCTGACCTGGGGTGGCTGGATGGCTCAGTTGGTTAGAGCACGTGCTCTTAACAACAAGGTTGCCAGTTCAACTCCCGCTCAGGATGGTGGGCTGTACCCCCTGTAACTAGGTTGAGAACGGTGACTGGACTTGGAGCTGAGCTGCGCCCTCCACAACTAAGACTGAAGGCCAACAACTTGACTTGGAGCTGATGGGTCCTGGGAAAAACAATGTTCCCCAGTAAACTTTAAAAAAAAAAAGAAAAAGAAATGCCCGAGTTCCAGAAAGTCTGATTTTAATGTTTGGGGTTAGGTCCTGGGAAACATACTTTTTAAAGTTCTGTGAATAATTCTAATGTGCAGTCGGAGCTGAGAACCATTGTTATGGAGATTTCTGGACAGTGGAATTGCAAGCAGTTTGTGTGATTTAGAGAAATAAGGAAGAGGGAATTAAATGTGCTAAGAACCCCAATCCATGATAATCCTGGAAACCCCACAAAAGGCCAGTCTGACCCTTTTGCTCCCCTACTTTAAACATTCAGTGCCTTCCATTTGTTCTCAAGGTAAAGACCAAAGACCTTACCTACCTTCCAAGCCTTGGAGGTCTGACTCCGCCCACCCTTCCCACTTTTGCCCTCACCATACTGGTTACCCTTCAAGTCCTGGAGGAGCCTACTCCCTTCTGCCAGTTGGCATTTGCCAGTGACATTCTTCTCCCCACCCCCCAGTTAATGCCTGTGTATGATAGGTATGGAGCCCTACACAGATGAATGGGACAAGCCTCCCACAAGGGAAGGACAGCTAAGATGCTAACAGTGCTCAGCACCACGGCTAAGCTCGTCTGGCTCTTTAGGGCTGTTTGCTGGTAGCAGACTTCTTGGACACTTAAATAAATTGACAAAGAAAAAGAAACCACTAAGAAAACTGGATTTCCTTTTATCAAAGGTCAGGGACTACAGGAGTGTTAGCATTTATTTTGTCTTATGTATCTTTTGTTATGTGTTAACCTGATAGGACAGTGGAGATGAACTAGACTATGAGGAAACACCAGGAGGATCCCTCAGAGAAAATCATCAAGACACCCAAGGTAGACACAGCTGGGTTGGGTTTTGTAATGTTATCATCATAATTGTTGGATGAAGTTTGCCCTGTTCAAAGATGTTAATGGGGAATGACCTTTCCATTTCCTCTCAGGTATGAGTTGGAAGTTAAAATATAGACCAAAGTGCTGAGTTCAGTCCTAATGTGTTGTTAATGCATCACAAATCAACTGATAATACCATGCTTTTATGTCCTTGGTTATTGAAAGATTTCTCTCCAGCCAGTGGCTGCAGATTGATGGAAAAGAGTGGGTGGGTACTTTGGGGGCATTACAAAAATGCCCCACAGGCCCCTCCACCTCTCTGTTCCTCCTGCTTTTACAGAGGCTTGGATATGCAGGTGAGGGAGCTGAGGTTTCCTGCCTACAGGGATAATATTCCAACAGAGGGGGGACCAGTGTCTTTAGAGACCCAGCCCCTGTCAACCACAATTCTAGGTGGCCAGAGCTGCGTGAGTGTGGCTTCCTCCAAAAATGATGTTCCGTTTCAGCGGTTCTCAACCTTTCACACGGGTCGCCTAAGACCATTGGAAAACACATATTTTCGATGGTCTTAGGAACCGAGACACCGCTCCTCTATCCGTCTCCAGGCCCACATGCAGATATGCCCGGCGACCCCTGTGAAAGGGTCGTTCAACCCCCAAAGGGGTCGCGACCCACAGGTTGAGAACCGCTGCTCCATTTGATAATGATGATGATTCCAGGAAATACTGGACCCAGAACTGGGCTCTTTGGCATAGCTCATATTCCCAGGCCCTGAACTAGATTCTAAGCTCTTCCCTGGTGGTACCTGGGTATTCTGTGTGATACTGCAGTTGGCTAGGCCTAGGAAGCAGAGCTGTTCTTTGTGCTCCTTGCTTCTTGCAGGAGTGGAAACAGATGTGTGAGAGACTTGGGCTCTCAGGGAATAGTTGGAGGGCCAGACAGAACTAGCTGTGCTTGTAGTTTGCTTACAAAGGTGTCCAGCAGAGGGGGCAAGTGAGGGCTGAAATCCAACCTGTGCTCTTCTCCTTAAGCCGTGTACCTGGCACTGGGTGTGTCCTCCCAGGAGGGGCTTCTTTTCCCAGTTGACCCTTCTACTGGGGCGCCTTTCTCCAATTCACGTAAGATGCTCTGTTGAGGCTAGCAGCAGCGATCTGAGCAGCTGAGCAGAGAGCATGAGCTCTGGAGTTGGACTACCTTCACCTTGACCTCTCTGCCTCAGTGTCCTCAACTGAAGCTAAAAACAGTACTCCCCTCATAAGGTTGCATTAGGAATACATTAAGTAATTCATGTATAGTGGTCCTTTAATGAATATTAATCCCGAGTTGAATATCACAATGACCACCAATCTGAAATGACACTATGACGCTCCTTGTGGCATCTGGGCCCCCCTGGGGTGAGAGAGACCATAAGAGCTCACTGGAGATAAATGGGCAAAGTCATAGATTTGGGATTTCACCCTAAACTTGATAGTTTTCTGTTTACATCTTTTACTAGTTCTTTCAGTTGCCATTCTGAACAACAACAAAAAATAATAATAAGTTTTAGACTCATTTTAAAAGGTGTCACTACTTCTGGATATCAGAAAATAAAATGTTATGGTAGCCCAATCCCTGGGTTTGGTCAAGCTTTGAAGCAGGGTTTCTGCTGACATTAAGTCTCCCCCGCTGCCTCCATTTGCAAAACTGAGTGACAATAGCCAGGGAAACAAGCTCCCGCCCTCAGATCTTCCATCTCGTAAATCACATATGCAGAATGTGAACACTGACGAGGCTCCAAGGTCTTGGCCAAGTGCAATGGAGCTTTTAGGCAGCGCAGAACATGACCAAATCTAAGCAATAACCAAGTCAGTCAAAACAGATTTCCTGTCTCATGACAGAGGGACAGGCTCCAGCTGAGTTCCATAAAGGTTATTCACACAGCCTTTAATGCAGTGAAGTGTCACTGCAGAAAATTAAAGCAGGCATTTGCCTGTCCTGAATGATAAATGCTAATGTTTAAAAGGGATTTCAAATCTTTTAAAAAATAATGGGGGTGGGAGGGTTGGAGGGCACTCTTTAGGCAGCATCACAGTGATCAAGAGTGCTGATTAGTAAGTCTGATTCTCTGGGTTCAAATGCAGGCTCTACCACTTAGTAACTGTGTGGCCTGGAGTAAGTTACTGAGCCTTCCTGGGCATCTTTTTTCATCATCTGTAAAATGGGGATACTTATAGCACTTAGCTCATGAGGTGGTTGTGACATAAAGGAGTTACTACATAGAAGGTGCTTGTAAGAGTGCCTGGTGCAGAGTAAGTGCTCATTAAAGGTTAGCAATTAGTCTATTTCTTGAAAACTAATTTTAGTAGCCATAAATTGCACTTTGTCAGGAAGGACTTGTTCTAAATTGATAACATGATGATTTATTTCTTTACTTTCCAAATCAGTCTTAATGGGGGTGGGGGTGGGGGCTTGTTCTTGGGAGACTGATTGAGTCCTCTGTGTAAGTCCTTCTTTTGCCTAAGTCTGGGTGTGGGCAGCAGACCCAATCTGAATGAAGCAGCCTTACCAACCTCTGCATTCTGTGAAACTTTATGTACTAGTTTATCTCATTTTATCCTCACCACAACCTTATGAGGTACAGTGCATTATCCCTATTTGACAGATAAAGAAAATGAGGCTCAGAGAGGTTAGGTAAACTGCCCAAGGTAACACAGCCTGGAGGAGCTGATATATGAACCCAGCTTTCTATGACTCCAAATCCTTGGCTCTTTAATAGTTGTAAAGAGATACAACTGTGTTTCTGATGTGTTTTTTATTAGGAAATAGGTATAAAGTCAAGGAAACATCACAAAATTAAGGCAGCATTTTTTTTTAAGCCAGCATGAGTCTGGGAGTTTATTTAGAATCTCTAGAAATTCGTTTATATTATAGATAAAAGAACCCAAGGTCTAGAAGTCAAGACAATTTTGCAAAATTGCAGCTAATTATCAAAACCAAGGTAACCCAAGTCTCTACTCAGTGTTTGTGGGTGTTTTGTTTAGTTTAGTTCAGGGGTCGGCAAACTGTGGCTTGCGAGCCACATGCAGCTCTTTGGGTACATACATGTGGCTCTGAAGTAAAATTGAAA